CCCGAGCACGATACGATTATCCCCCTCGCGAATGAACAAGTTATGCGGGCTCATCACCTTGTGCGCCCACGGAATCTCCGACGAAGGCTGCTTCTGACCGGCCTCAGTCACAGCGGTAGGCGCCCTGTGAAGGAAATCCAGCAGGCCCCGCCTCTGCGACGCAAAGTACGCGTCCCCGTGGCCCTTGCCTGGAGCCGGGGACGGTGCCGCGGCCTTGCAGAACTGTGAGACCAGGTACAGGAGGTAATACTGCGGCGGGAAGAGGATGATCTCGCCCTTGTCGGCGCGGTAGAGCCAGGTCCACGCGTCGTCGAACTTGGCGGCCGTGTGCTCTACGCCCCCGTCCGGGGTCGGCACGATGATTTCGTTTTCGGCGGCGTCGGCGCCGGTTGAGGCCGAGTGTGGGAGCATGTAAATGTACATTTGCGTTGTGAAGCGCTTGGGCACGTTGGTAGGCGTCACCCACCTGGTGAAGGGGATGAGGCGTCCTGTTCAAAGCGTGAGTGATACTGAATCTTTCGCGTAGTCTTGCGATGAAAGCGCTTGATGTAATGGTTCGTTACTCACCAACGTCGGGGACGCCACCCACGCTGTCGACCCATTCGCTGAAGCGCAACTTGCCGCTGTGAATCTGCTTGCGAGCCTTCTCTCTTTCTGCCGTGGGAACGTTGACGAGAGTAGACTTGTCGTCAGAGCCCTTCCGAGTGGCGAGGAGGATGCCCGTCTCCTCAAAGCACTCACGGATGGCACCTAGCCGATACGCGTGGCCGTCCTCATGCCTTTCACGGGCATCACTTGGCGGGATCTCTCCATCGTGAAACGGATCTAGATTCCCGCCGGGGAATACATGCGCTGATGCGAACGATGTTGATGTCTTCACCCGGTGGAGCAGGAGGACCTGGTTTGTCGGTGAGAGGAGCAAGATGCTATGGGCCGGGCTGTGTGAGCTGGCACTGAGCCTGTATGTCTAATTATGAGCGGAACTCACCTCGCACTCGGCCTAGGCTCCATAACCTCTCTTTCGCGCTTCGGCGGCGATGAAGAAGATGAACGCTGCTGTGACATGATGATGATATTTGATGCGCCTGCTTGTTGTCGGGCGGTGCGTGAAACGGGCGTTGCTATGAGTGACGTGTTTGGCTGGAGATCCCTGCTCGAAATGCGCGTCGCGAGTGAACGTGAAAATGAGTGCAATGAGAAGCTTGGGTATCGAATTGATTGTTTCAATGAGTTTCTTAATGAAGAGAGTCTACCTGTACGGGATAATGGTGATAACGAAGGCATTGAGAACTTGATGGTGACAGCCGATCAGCTCGAGTCAAAAGTCATGAGGTGTCTGGGACAAAGATCACCGACCCGGCGGGGGTTGACGTTTTTGCCGAGGTTCGGTGTGCGCCCTGTGACCGCGCCCTGCTGCTAACTCTCATCAACACTTGCAACGCCAGACAATGCGGCCTAACCGCACATGTCATCTCATTCGAGGAACATCAATTCGAACATCACAGTCTCTCACTCGGATTGATCTTGTGTGAAGAATAATTATGTGTTATAAAGATTGTTGACGAGACGGCGACAGAGGATCATCTCAATCAACATCAGGAATCATATTGTGACGACCGTGTCTAACCAATGCAAGACTATTCAATGGGTATCGTAAATGCATAACATAGGCGCCGAATCAGTACCGCTTCCGCTCCTTTCCTCTCAAGCTCTCGCGCCACAGACAGCAAACGCTCTTTGACTCACACCACTGCTTCACTTCCGTCGGCGAGACTTCACCATCATACCCAACCCGGGATAGCTGTCCGGTGTTGAGCCAACCAGCAAGATCTTCAAGCACAATCGGATCATACATCAGCATCATCTCGTGAAAGGACGGGTTCTTGGGGTCCGTCGTTGGAGGCGCCGAGGTCACAGCTTCAGTGATACGCGCGAACAACACGTCCGATCGCTGGCTCTGGGACGCTGCAAGTGACATTTCTGTATCATCGCCAATTGACACTGAAGCTTCCTCGGGAGCTGGTGAGAAAGTCGGCTCGGGTGAAGAGCATGGCGATGGTGACAAGGAAAGCGGCCCTTCTGATTCCGAATCTGGGATCTCGATGACCTTTGTCGCTTTCGTTTTCTTCCGAGGCGGTGATGCCACTGGCGAGGCCGCCCTCCTCGATGTTTTCGGCTCTTTTGATGCGCCAGATGTTGCTTTCGACTTGCCCTTCTTACTGGCCGTCGAGGGAGTAGCTGTCGTCGACTCGGCATTCTTCCTTGGTCGACCACGGCCTCGTTTGGGAGAAGGTGGTGGCGGCTGAGCGGACGGTGGCGGCTCACTGGAAGGCATTCCAACTTCAGCTTCAGCTTCAACTATACTAGTCTTTCGGGGTCGACCACGCGGCCTCTTCGGGGAAACGGTGGCTGCTGGTTTCTGTGACTTGGCAGCAGCTTGCGCCTGGGACGTGGTCGTGATGGGGCGATTCGTAGGAAGCGATGAAAGGGCAGTCCTTTGCTTGCCCACCCAGCACTGGTCTAGAAGGGCAAGCATGGCTTGCCTTCGCTTGACTGGTTTAAATCCGTATGACGAAATCTCTCGCGCAAGCTGGTTGTCAGTGTAGAGACTAAAGTCTGGTTTCGAGATCTCTGGAGCCGTGTCCTCCACCACCGCAGGCTTGGATGCTTTAGAGACTTGTACTGGCGGTGACTCTAGTGGTGGCAGAGTGCTAGCTTCTTCCACAGGGTTGGGTTCAGAACCAGAAGACACCAACAGCACTTCGACTGGCTGAGATGTGATCTCGACTGACCTAGAAGGTGGCGAAGACGGTAATGCTTGTTTCTGAGTCTGAGGCTTGCCGTCCTGATCGGTCTCTTTTCCCAGAAGATCGTCAATATCTGGAAAGGACATGTCCGACAACATGTGAGCCGGTAATGGCGCGTTTACTTTCTCTTGTGTAGAAACAACAGGGTGTGGCGGCAAGTCGATTGCCGTGTCCCTTGCCAGAAGGTCTTCAATGTCCGGGAAAGAAACATCTGACGGCATATGAGGTGGCGGGGCCGCCATTATTTGATCAATTCCAGCATAACCAAAAGGATTGAGTCCATCTGCAACGCTCGGTGCTGCCTGTGGAGTGTCGGCAAGATTGATGACTTCCAAGTCCAACAGCCTGCCATCCTCGTCTCTCGCGCCTACGTCCCATAGCTTTTGCTTGGGTTCTGGCTCAACCTCGTCGCTATTGATCGGTGTCACAAAATGATCTTCTCTCTTTGAATTTGATGCCTGCAGGGCAGACTGGAGATCCCTGAGGAAAGTAGGCGAGTGTTCACGTGCCAGCTGGCTCGAAGTCCCGAACACGTAATCTTGCTTCGCAGCTTGTCTGAGGGCTGCAGTTGGTGACAACAGAATGGGCTCAGGTGGAGGAGCCTTTTTCGGTTTCTTTGCTTTGGATGCCCTCTTCTTTCCTTTTGGTTTGGTAGTCTCTTCTCCGTCCTCGACACTCTCGACTGGAGCCGCGGACGGCTGCTCCTGTTCTGTAGCATCCGGGACCGCATAGGCTGCCGTGGCCAATTCGGTGATCGTACGTGGCTTCTTCCTCGGTGCTTTGACTTTCAAGGGCCCCTTCTGAGGTGGTCCCATTTTCGACGATTCGTTGACCGGCATTGTCTCGATCAACTTCCTCTTCTTCAACACCGGTCTGTCGCCATCGGACGTCTCAGCCGAAGGTCTCTTCAATTCCTCGTCCGGCCGACCAAACTTTTCGAAAAGATTGTCAAATGTTTCCTTCGACGCAGCACGGCATGGGCTTTTCACAGTCGGGGATAGGAGGTCGACGGCCTGGGAAGATTTCGATCCTGAAGCCATGCCATTGTCGGCTGGCGGCGGTGTCCAGTCCACACGACGTCTTAATGCTGCCTCGAGCTCCAATGGCTCACTGGCATCCTTCTCTGGTTCTGGTGGTGGTAAAGGTGAATCTTCTTTGCCTTCAGCCTTGGGCTTCGCAAAGTGGCGACTCTGAACACCACTCTTCTTTGCTGCTGCCTTTGGCTTTGCAGCCTTGGGCTTTTTCTCAGACTTTGCAGCCGGTTTCTTTGGGTTCGCATACTTCTTCCACGGTGGACTGGCAGACGCATCTTTGATCGGTTTGGAGGGTGAAGGCGGTTGAAATGCCTTTTTCTCGAGAACCTTGACGCCTCTTTTGCGTTTCGGCCTGGGTACGTTCGCAATGGATATCACTGTGACCTCCGCCTCTTCTTGTGGTCGAGTTGGTAAAGGCTCATCTCTACATGGTGTCGTTAAGTCGATCGCGGGTTGGTCCTGGCGAAGGAAGCTCGAGGGATTGGCGAAGTGATGGCTCGCATGTGTTGGAGTGGAAGTGGCAGCCATGGGGCTTCGAATGGGTGGCTGCTTGGGGAATTGAGACTTGATCTGGTCCAGGGATGGCAAGATTGGTGAAGAGGGGAGTTTATAGGCGTCATGACGGGTGCTTCGAAACGGCGACCCCATCGTGAATCTCGGCAACCCCGTCGTGATGCGCAAAGCGCATGTTTTCGATGCGACTCGCAGCAGATTGAACGGTTCGTGGGTGTGCCGGCGAGAGAGATCAATCGCTTATGTTATACAGATGACGGAGGCATCGGTTGTTCCCTTGCGAAGTCAGACGGACCGGTGGAGGGAGGGAGAGGGGCGTATTTGAGTGGCGGTGGCAGTTTAGATGGAATTCACGCCGTCGATTCTGAACATCAACAAAGCACCCGCCAACGCGCAGCAGCAGCAGCAGGAAGCGTGGAGTGGAGGGGGACCGAGTTCCAGGCCTGGATGGTTGTGGGTACGTACCGTAAGGTACCTGAGTATCTGCAGCAGGGGTCAGAAAGAGCACCCTGGTCATCGAAGCACAGACCGTTCTTTCCATTTTGGCGATGACAGGTTCCTTATCTTATCTCGAGAATGAGGTAAGCATTTTGTCGCTAGATCCACGTGATCTCAACCCTTTCCTGCCGCTTCGGCCCGCCCACACGAAATTTCGAAAAAAGAAGGCAGTCAGTCTACCACAGCTCTCCCGCATCTCGACCCCGCGAACGACAACATCCAAGCAAACCACCACCTACTTGCTTCTAGTCAACCCCGAACGCAAGCCGCAGCAATGGAGAACGACAAGGGCGAGATCGTCGATCTGTGAGAAATCCCCCTCCCCATACCGAACTATCCCACGAAATTTCCCGCGCGAGAGACGAAATCGAGAGGAGAAAGGCTTTCGCGGGAAAAGCGCGACTACACCAAAAATTCGATATCGAAAGTCCCATGCTAACCTCTTGTTTTTGTCTTCGTCGAATAGCTACGTTCCGCGCAAGTGCAGCGCCACCAACCGCATCATCAAGGCCAAGGACCACGCCTCCGTCCAGATCTCCGTCGCCAAGGTTGACGAGAACGGCCGCGCCGTCCCCGGCGAGAACCACGTCTACGCCCTCTCCGGTTTCGTTCGTGCGATGGGCGAGAGCGACGATGCCTTCAACCGTCTGGCCCAGCGTGATGGCCTCGTCAAGGCTGTCTGGTCCGGCCAGCGCTAAATGCTGAAAGGATGCGACCTCGGGGGGGAAGGATGGTACGTCGGGAGTTTTATTGTACGGCCCGCAAAAGGGCTGTTTACAACAGTCGGACGGTTGGGCTGACTTGTCAAAAGGGTCTAGTCGTTCGGTCTGGTCGGTCGACATCATGGATCTAGAGTTGGTTGCATGGTATATCGCCAATTCGAGGCGTCCGGCTCTCTGCGGAGAGGAAAATGGCATAGGAATGGTTCACGACTACCCAACAAAATGAGATTTTCCGCGTTCGAGATCAAGACAAACTACCACAAAAGTCCCCAGTGACCACTCGTCCTCACCCCCCTTCGCCCCCGATGCAATCTCTTTGCTCTTCTCCCACGCCCCCGGCTAGCGAAGGATTCTCGTGCCACCCTCGATGGTCTCCCATGGTCGAGGATTCTGGGGCTACTCTGATAGCCTCCGTGCCGCAGATTGATGCAGGCCTTGAAAAAGCCGTGGCTGTTAAGGTGTTCGTCATGGTACAGATACGGGTCTCACATGTCTAGGCGCAGCTGCCAGACTGTCAATACGAAAATGATTCCATTCCCAACTTTTGCGCTGCAAATCCCTCCGACTGTGTTTTGTGATCTCAGGAGAAGCCACTAACCTCCATTGGTATCGGGTAGTTGCTAACCAACGGACCATCGTCCACAAGGGCCATGTTTGAAGCTCATCATCCAGGTCCCACATCGAGCAATCAAGGAAGACAAAGCTATAGATGCTCCGGTCTACCTAGAAGGACTTCCGTGGCCGATATCCACAGTCACAGCCCGGGGATAAAGCCACCCGGCCGGCTGCCCAGCCGCATCTCCAGCTTTCTGTGGGCAATCTCGGGCTATGTTCTACGACGTTTCACAGTTCAATTTTGATTCTCAGAATCAACATGGTCTCATAATTGTCGCTCTTCTAAACAGATTCTTGTCTATAGTCATCTTCATAACAGGTCCCGCTCTAAGACATCTTACAATACATAACGGAAGTTGGGGTTCTGTCCACATGTTAGTTGTCAAAGTCTCTTGCGGATCACAGAAGTTCGGGATACTCACCTCCTTGTCAGTCAAATCGACTCCCTCATCATCGTGCTCAGCATCAGGCGAGATACCAGCCGCCGCCGCAGCAGCATCTCTCTGCTTGTTACGGCGAATGAGCAGCAACCGCAACCCGACAGCGATAGCCACCTGCGAAGCCGAGCACGCGAGGATAAGCTTGCACCCAGTCGCGTACAACGGCGCCTCCTTGGCCAAAAACGCATGAGGCCCAATAATGTTACCCACGCAGTACGCCGTGAAGACAATGGCCGAGGCCGTAATACGCTTGGTGTATCCTCCGAGGTTCGTCGCCGGCATCTGCAGGGCCAGGACAAGGGAAGCGACGTAGCAGCCAATCATGTAGTAGCCAAACAGGACGCCGACCTTGTAGTGCGTTCTATCCAGCTTCCAGATCATGCAGCAGCCGATGATGGTGGGGATGAGCCACACCGCCATGACGGTCGTGCGCTGGTTACGGAACTTGGACGCGGTGTAGGCGCCCGTGAGAATCCAAAAGACCTGGAACGCGCCCTGCGGGATTCCCAGCGCCGTGGTCAACAGCGGGTCAGTGACGAGCCCCTTGATGATGAGCTTGCCAAAGTTGGCCACGCCGCCGTTGATGACCTCGTTAAGCAGAACGAAGAGCGTCAGAAGCCAGACCTGGGGGTCGAGGCATGCCTCCTTGACCTGGTACCACTTGATCGTCTTGTTGAGGACGCCCGTCTTTGCGAGACGCGCGCGGCCGACGAGGAGGGCTCGTTCTTCGAGGGAGAATCTCTTGGCGCTCAGAATGCTGTCTGGGAGGAAGACGAGGAGCAGAACGCCCCATATGACGGTGATGCCGCCGCAGATGAGGAAAACGGCTTTCCAGACGGGGAAAGAGTCGATTTGGCCGATGCCATAGCTGAGAACGCCGCCGAGCATGCTGCCGACACCGTTGCAGCAGTAGAAGAGTCCAGCTCGCATGGGCTGTTCGGATCGCACGTACCTTGATGCATGCATTAGGATAATCTTGACATAGGAGGGGAGCGAGATGTCGAGACTTACCACATGGAAACCATCATCATGAAGCACGTCGTGATGGGCGCCTCAAAAACTCCAAGCAGGAAACGGCACGCAGCAAGTCCCGGGAAGTTGGAGCACGCAGCCGTGATCATCAAGACGGAACCCCACGACAAAACACATCCCGCCACGACCTTGCCCATGCGCGTCTTCTGCGCAATGTAGACCCATGGGTACTCGGCCACCAGGTAGGCCAGGTAAAAGATACTCGCAAACCACGAGTACTCGGTCTGGGTGACGCTCGTGCTGGAGAAGAGATCAAAGACGGCGGCGTAGGACAGCGCCTGCTTGTCAATGTACTGCAAGACATAGGTGCCGGCCAGGAGGGGGAGAATCATGAGGTCGATCTTGCGGACCAGGCGGCGGTTCTTCTCCTTGTCGTTGACGAGCTCGGCGAGGTACTCTTCTGTGATGTTGTTCTCCTGGAGGAAGGCCTCGGACTCGTCGAGGTGGGCGACCTCGCCCGCCGTGAAGGACTTTGTCGGCTCGAGGCCATCCTCGGCGACCTTGATGTCTTTGGACACTTTCTCGGCCATTGTTGTCGATGTAGGCGGGGAACTTCGAAAACAAAGACTTAGACAAGGTGAGAGTGGTGATCCTGAGAAAGAGGAGAGATCCAAAGATGAAGCCTCTCTACTACTTCTCCAAGGGTTTCCCGTCTCTCTGAAGAGAGGGATAACTCCTTTAATGTCTCATTGCCAATTGGTCATTATCTCGACAACCCTGACCACGCCACGCTACCCAGTCCGGGGTAAACTACTAGGTAGATAGGTATGATAACGCGGAGGCCCAGGAGTCCGTCAATGGGACGTCTTATCTGAAGCCAGATCCATATGGAACCACATTTTACGGGCGACGTTACCCGCGAGACTGGGAATTCAGCTGGGCACACTAAGAAACAATGGCAGTTGGCTATCGCGGGGAAGTCGTGCCGGGGGGGTCCCATGAGTCGGGGCCCGTCCGATAGCACAAGTCGGACGGGGGCTGATAAGCCGGGAACGGGGGCCATTTGTTGACTCTATTCAACCTGTCGAAAGTCGAAAGGGGGAGTCCGGCGCCCAGATCTACGCCCGAAAGCACGTCTCGCCGAGATCGGCCGTTTCGTCCCCGCGGGAAAGCCCCGGTATCAATAGCCTCTTTGAGTCTCTCTCACAATCATTTAACGCCTAATCAAGCCTTTCCCGCCACGGCGCCAAGCACCATTCGATAACTACGGAATATTACTAGTCAGGTCATTCACTATCCGGACCTTGTCCGAGAAAGAGAGTGTGTTAAAGTCAACTGCAACTCAACGGCAAGCCGGTACGAGCAACCGCCGATTATCGATAAGAGCTTCGTGGGATGCACTCCGGTTGTGAGTTGTGAATTGCGACTTGAGACTCTTCAACCTAACTCAACTCAATCACTTGTCTTTTACACAAAGTCGAGGCAGAGCCGAAACTTCACATTCTCTCAAAATGGGTTCAACAATTCAAGACGCCCGTCCTTCAGTGAAACTCACCCAGGGAACCGTCATCGGCACAGTCGTGTCAGACAGTCTCCCCCGGCCAGTCGAAGCCTTCAAGGGTATTCCGTATGCGCTCCCGCCAACAGGAGATCGCAGGTTCCGCGCACCAGTCAAAGTCGAACCCTCAACAAAAGAAATTGACGCTTCGAAATGGGGTCCCGTCGCACCGGGCAAGCAACTCTTCCCAGGCGGTCCAGCGTTTGAGTACAGCGAGGACTGCTTGACTGCCAACGTCTTCCGGCCCGTCTCGTCGTCTCAAAATGAGACACTACTGCCCGTGGCCGTGTACATCCACGGCGGCGCATTCAACAGAGGCACGGCTATGATGCACAACACGGCTTCGTTCCTGGCCAACTCAGGGCAGGCTTTTATTGCAGTTTCCTTCAATTATCGAATTGGAGCTCTCGGTTTCCTGCCCTCCACCAAGAGTTTCGAGGAGGGTTCTGTGAACCTCGGTTTGAAAGATCAACTCATTCTCCTCGAGTGGGTTCGCGACAACATCACGGCATTCGGCGGAGACCCCAACAACGTCACCCTCTTTGGCATCTCCGCCGGAGCACACTCTGTAAGTCGTCACAGACATATCCTGTTCTACGCTAAGGGAGAAGGCTCGACTCTAACAAACAACCCCAGATCGGCCACATCCTCATCAACGACGAAGGCCAATACAACCCACCCCTCTTCCACAAAGTCATCCTCGAATCCGGCGCCCCAACATCCCGCGCAGTCCGCCCCTACAGCGCCCCCATCCACGAAGCCCAGTTCGCAGACTTCCTCGCAGAGACAGGCTGCCCGGCAAACCTCTCCGCCGCCGAGACCTTCGCCTACCTCCGCGCCGCGCCCACCGAGGTCGTCCAGAAAGCCCAAATCGCAGTGTTTGACAAGTACAACCCTTCCCTCCGCTGGGCCTTCCAGCCCGTCGTCGACGGCGACATCATCCCCCGCCCGCCAATGGAATCCTGGCGCCTCAACAAGTGGCGCAAGGTCCCCATCATGACGGGCTTCAACCGCAACGAAGGCTCCATCTACATCTCCAAAAAGGTTTCCGCCTCGTCAGAATTCACCTCCTTCTTCGCAGACCTGCTTCCCCTGCTCTCCAAGGAGGACGTCGACACCATTGACAAACTCTACCCGGACCCCCTCACCATCCCAACCTCACCCTACAAGGAATCCCTCGACGGCACAGGCGCCCAATACCGCCGCCTCGAAATCGCCTACGGCCAATACGCCTACGTCGCGCCCGTCCGCCAAACAGCCGACCTCGCCTCCCGCGCGGACCCGGCGCTGCCGGTATACCTCTACCAATGGGGCCTCGAGAGCTCCCTCCTCGACCGCGCGCGCCACGGCGAGAACATGTACTACGAGACCTGCGAGCCCGCAAAGACCAAAATCTCCCCGACGCAAAAGGAGCTATGCCTGACGCTGAACGCGTACCTCGCCAGCTTCATCGTCGCGGGCGACCCGAATGCCGTACGTGGCGAGAGCGCGCCGGAGAGGCCCGTGTGGGAGCGGTATGTCGCCGAGGATCCCAAGGCGTTGGTGTTTGCGGAGGAGAATAAGGAGCTTATTGGGGGTGAGGCGGGGATTCCCGCGCGGTTGTGTGCTGATACATGGGCGAGAAAGGAGTCGGAGTTCTGGTGGACAAAGGTTGATGTGTCGCAGCAATAAGTGCATCGTTGAGTAGAAATAAAAAAGTAAAATCTTTGATAATTTCTCTACGACCTAGTCTATCAATGTTCCGGTGTTAATGTATGACCACAACTGTTGAGAGTGTAGGTACTCATGGCACGAGAGCTTCTTGCTCAGGGCCGAGACCCATGCTGATTCTTCGCAATCATCGATCTCGCAATATAATTGGACAAGACCGAGGCTAGCGATTGAACTTATGAGCCTTTTTCTACTGAGGTGTGACTGGACAGCTGACTCGAAAATTGAGACTGGATCAAGATCATTGGGTGACTCTCGAATGCCGTGTAATACCAACTAGGAACATGAGTTGAGGTCAATATACAAACCCATGTGGCATTGATAGATACCTAGTCGGGTTATCCGTTGGCATACTTGAAACTCTTGATCCGCAGGTTTCTTCATCGTATTGCTATCGTGGGAATGGCCTTCCCCTATTGAGCTCACTACCTCACATTGCTATAATTGAAAATGGAGTTGGACGGAAAGTCTCGGCGATGGGAGTTAATCAGGTCTTACCAGAGTCTGAATTAAATCATGGCTAGATAATTATCTCGGTCGAATACTTTTTTCTTTTCATTGTGGGGCTGGACAACATTATTGTGAATTCTGGTGATGAACTCATTTATCGCCACCTTTTTAACATTTGAAAAGCAAGAATAAAAGACCAAGTTAATTCACCAAAGAACACCACAACATAATTCTGCGCAGTTCTCTACATGAATCTGTTCAGACAATTATCTAGTATCTAATTCAGTATTGATAAAAGGTTCTTCTGCGTCCGTTCCTTGAATGACCCCGATGAGGCTGGAGACCCTTCTCCAGAGCCTCACCACCAACCTCCACCCAATTTGAGCATCACCACTCCATCGACATGGCACATGCGACCACACCCACTGGAGAACTCGGGATCCCGTCCGCTCTCCCATCGATAAACCAGTGAGGGCCGGAGTAGTAGTCGGGTCGGAGACGACCGGCGAATGCCCGGTGTTGCATGTACTTTTATCTTTTGCAGTCTCCGGAAAGGACCCCTGAACTGAATGAGGGACAGCATCTACCAGCTCCCAACTCTGCTGAAGCTCCCAGCAACCTTCATCTCACCCTTGGCCTCCCGACTCGCCTCACTGTATTCAACAAGCTTGAGCGGGCGATACTCGGGCGACCACATCTGCTCCCGGATCCACTCATCCAAGTCCTCGTCCCCCTCCGGGATCCCCTCCTCCGTCGCCACGCCCTCCTTGACGGCCGCCTTGATCACAGCCCGCGCGACCCTCACACTCACGTTCCTGACGACATCTACGCCCGGCAGAAGCGGCGCCGTCTGGTCTTTGAGTGCGGGGCTGAGCGACGCGACGCCCTCCACAGCCGCAACGAGCATCTTGTCCGTCACCACGCTCGCCCGGCAGAGCACGGAGCCCAGGCCGATGCCGGGGAAGACGACAGAGTTGTTGCACTCTGCTACTTCAATCTCAATCTCCTTCCCGCCTTCGCCCCAGGGGCCCTTGACCGGTTTGAATGGGGAACCTGTCGCGACGAGAGCCTTGCCGTCGGTCCATTTGTAGATGTCCTCCGGAACGGCCTCATGGAGACGAGTTGGGTTGGAGAGAGGGAGAATGATGGGCCGCTCAACGCCGTCTGCCATGGCGCGGACAATTTCTTCCGTAAAGGCCTTGGGCTTCGTCGAGGTTCCGATCAGGACATTGGGTTTGACTTTCTTGATGACCGAAAGGAGAGACGCGTCTTTGTCTTTCCAGTCTGAAGAGTCCTTGGCGAAGCCTTTTTGGGCAGCGGATACCTCGCTGTCTGTGGTCAAGAGACCGGGCTTGTCGATCAACCTATGTCTCTGTTAGCAGGAATGGCCTAGCTTTGAAGGTTTGCGGACATATATGTACCAGATCTGCTTAGAAGCATCCTCCTTGCTCATGTTTCCTTCGGCGGCAATGGCGTCTCTAACCTGGTCCGCAATTCCGACCCCAGCTGAGCCGGCACCAAAAATGACCAAGCGCAGGTCAGTGAGCTTCTGCTTGCTGACGTGTAAAGCAGCCGTGATGGCCGCTAAAGTGACGCATCCCGTTCCCTGCACATCATCGTTGAAGCACGGGATATGAGGACGGTATTGATCCAAGATTCTCCTGGCTAGTAGTCCATTGCACATCAGCAGATACTCTCAGCCAAGCAGAACCACCGTGCTTACCATTGGTGAGACCAAAGTCCTCGAAGTGGATGTAAGCGCGAGGATACAGCCTCCTGGCAGCCTTGACGAACTCATCCACGAAGCGATCATACTTGTGTCCCCGCACACGCTTCTGTCTGAGTCCCAAATACAGATCATCGTTCAAGAGCTCTTCGTTATCGGTGCCGCAGTCGAGAACCACAGGCAGTGTTCGATTAGGATGAACACCAGCGCATAGGGTTGTGAGGACCAGCTTCGCTACCGAGATTAAGACACCACCGACGCCCTGGTCTCCGATACCCAGGATCTCTTCTCCATCTGGTGTAGCTAGTCAGCGGATCATTCGGGCATCACAGATCCGGAAGACAAGGGGATATAAGCAGGGATAGGATCACATGCCTGTAACGACAATGTAGTCGATGTCCTCTGGCCGACCCCATTGAGCCAGGTCGTGATAGACTCGATCTATGTCATTAATGTTCAGAAAGCAGCCGTCGGGCCTTCTGAAAAGCCGTGAAAAGTTCTGAATCGCATCTCCCTCGGTTGGCGTATACACGATGCTAAACATTTCCGGAAGATGCTCTTGCAACAACTACACAGCAGTCTCAGATCACTTCTGCTTCAACATAAGATAACATTCAATCACATACCCGATAGTACAAGACCTCATTCTGCTCCTTCAAGGACGTCAAAAAGGTATTCTTGGCCAGGTCATCCTGGCGGCTCTTGTACTGCTCATAGGCGCGGTGCAGCTGCTGGTCGAGGGAGTGAATGCTCTGGGGAAGCAGGCCGGTCAGGTTGAACTCGCGGCGTTCGTCATCAGGGAAGGCGGTGCCTTTATTGAGGTACGGTGTGTTCAGCAGCGCGCTGCCCGTGACGGCGCAGCTGATGGGGCCGCTGGTGCTCAGAGGCAGATGGGAGAACTTGGACTCCTTGCGGTCCTTGATGGGAGCCATGGTGTGAGATAGACGGGGTAGATGGGAGCGTCGGGTGGTGATGGTATTCCGAAGAGGGTTCACGATAATTCTGGGTGGCATCGAGTGGTGATGAGTGTAAGTGAAGGTAAAGATACGTTAAGCCCAGATCTCAAGCTTTGCACAGTCAGGTTTATGAGGGCGTTTAAGTGGGAGTCGAGATGGTCTGATGGGAAGCACATGCAAGCAGCAGAGACGGGAAGTCGTGATAAGATGTCAACGTCGCCGTCCACTTTGGATTTGAATATGTACATTTTCCTTGGCACAGAAACGCTAAAGAACAGCTACGTACCTCACGTTCGGGGAAAAGGGGGGTAACGTGAGGTATCGAGGTATCTTAGAGGAGGAGAGGAAAGAGCGGCTTGATGGCGTTGCCGTCCTGCCGTTTGTGAGCGCTGACTGCCAAGTGACGTCAGGCCTTTCTTTGTGGTGATTACCTTAGGAAGTGACAGCACTTTGAGCAAGTGCGTGAGGTGGGGGAGGTGCAACTTCCATTGCATGTGGGTGGCCCAAAGCGGTGGAGGAAAACACCGGAGACGACCGGGACTCGGCCGGGTGAATGTGACCTTTTTCCTCGAATTCATGATGCTTCCCAGCTTTAGAAATGCACTGTTGAGCTCGTCTTATTGACCGAGAGACGGTGCAGGTATTTTGCTCGGACATGTAGCACTATGGAGCCATCCAAGTCATTTGGGCAACATGGACGTGGATGGCAAGTAGCACTTTGAACCGGCAATGCTCTCACTTCAAATCATGCAAAAGGAAAAGTCACAGCAAAATCTGTCGGTACGCCTGGAGCCTCGCCCATGTAGGAAAAAAGATGGGCATGGACTATGATGGTCCTGTTTTTCTCGCAGCCCGGCAAAAATCGAGATTTGAAGAAGGCGTAAACGCCCCTTCGCCCCTCGGTTTTCACCGCTCATAAATAGTGTATTTCCAGTCCTCTCCAGAGTGTACCGCAAAACGCGGCACAAGAAGGAGACCCTCGCCGAAGCAAAGACTCGTGAATAATCCAAGTGACTGGGTAGACGCTGCTGTATAGGTAGGTAAGGATGATTGAAGCTATCCTTCCTGTTTCGTTTTGGCTTCACACCACTTTCATGCTCTGACGCTATGGACACCGCAACAGAGCACAGGGAGACAATAAGTAATGCCCATTCTCGTAGGAGCTCGAGAATACCCCTGTTTGACTCACTTGAGCCTTTCGCTTTGGTTGCGCTGCCTGTCTTTGCAAAAATGTGGTGTTCGGCCAGTGAGTTTGATCAGGTAAAGGACATGGAGGGAAGGAAATTTTCTTCTCAGATTTTACGGTGCACCTTTCAGATTACATAATACACACCTAGCAACGGCCAGATTTTGAGGAAGGAACTCGTTGTGGAGACTCGGGAGAGGTGCCTGGCTTGTAACACAGCTGGCGCCGGCTGATTCGTCCCGCGCCGTGTAAGTCGGCGTTGGTGGATAACTTCAAATATCATGGGTTTCGATACTTTGACCGCAGCAAAGTCGATATATCATATTCGCTGACCTGAACGAACTGCCATTGTCTTCGTCAGATACAATTTCAACAGCTTTAGAAGTCATAGAGGGTGACAACTTTGCGACTATCCCCCTTCTCTAAGCTCAGCACGACCCTTCATGGGGCTGTAGCAACGCAAATGAAGATTTAGACAGACAGACAGACAAATGTAACAATTTTATCATCAGTGATTTTACCTGATAGCCATCAACCGTGCGCTACATTAAACCTGATGTTGGCGTCTCATTGTTTGTCACATTTACTGCGATTCACATATGAGTAAGGCATTTGGTACACTGACAGACAAACGCGGCCACGAACGGTACCATTTGTGTAATGATAATGATTGTTCAATAATGTTGACAAAGAAAGCGGTATACCCGAACACCTAGATAAGTTCATACAATCACTGCAGTCCGATGCGGGCTTAGATAAGACCAGCCCGGGCAGCCTCGCCACCGCCATCCTGAACGAGCTCGTCCATGCGCCTCTTGCCCTTTCCAATGCCTCCCTCACCGACACCCATCCTTCTGGCAACATATCTCTGTGCCACGACACCCACAGCCAGACTCAACAGCTCTTCGATCCACTCAGCGACCCACTCGCGGGGATCAACACCACCGCCCTCGACAATCTCACGGATCTCATCCGGGATGGATTGACCCAGGGAGCCCTCCTGGCCATCATCATTGCTGGCAGGAGTCAGCGGGTTGGCGGCATCCAACCAGCGGATCCACTTGGCCGGGATGGACTGGCTGATGGCCGAGTACTCAATCTCGTGGACGGGGTCGAGGCAGAAGACGGCGAAGCAAACCATCTCGTCTGCCTCATCCTGCTCGGCCACGGCCGAAGTCTCCTTCTCCTTCTCCACAGCCGACGTACTGGCGAAGAGACCCGAGTCGGCCGTGGTACCCACAGCCTGGATGGCAAGGAAGAGGTCGGAGCTGCGGACCGGGTTGTCTTCGCTCACCGGCTCAGTCGCACGTAGCCGAGCCTGCTCGACACCGCCGTGGGCTGCAAAGTACTCGCTGGCGTACCCCTCGGCTCCAGCACGGCAGAGCTTGGTGCCCTCGGTCAGACCCTTGATCAGACCCAGGTCACGCGGAGAGTCGGATTGTCTCCACCATGGACCGTCTCTCCAGCCCGCGCCACTGTCGTTGGAGTATTTGCGGCTGTGGGTTTCTTGGCCTCGCTGAATGACCATCAACTCGCCGCCCTCCACCTGGGACATGACGCGGGAGAAGGTGCCGTAGATCAATGGATCGAGGGAAGGGTACCCGACCATGTCGTGGGCGATGTGAATGAGGAGTCTCTCGTGAGAGCTGATGGGAGGGGCAATGGTGTGGAGGATATTCGTGAATGTCGGAAGAGCTTGCTGGCGAAGGTTGTCTCCTGTAAAGGCCGTGTTAACACCCAGTCATTCCTTCAATACCAGCGTGCCGTGGTCGCGTGCAGAAGACGGCAAAACCAGCTTATGAACTTACCGAGAGCCCTGAGGCCACCAACGTTTCCACGAACTTGTTCGGCCCATTTCTTGGCTTCCTCGTTCTTCTGAATCTCCTTCACAGCAGCCTCGGCCTGCTTCATGGCGGCAGTGGCCGTGTTGAAGATGCCACCCCACCAACCACCCCCAGCAGCCGGAGCGGGCGCGGCTTCGGGAGAAGCAGCTGATGAGGAGGCAGTGGCAAGCTGTTCAGCAGGCCTCTTCTCGGGTTCTTGCAGGTCGGAGCTCGTGGCACTGGGGGTGAAGCTCGCGCGGAGAGATCGTGCGCTGTCGGTAGACTTGCGGGGGGCGGTCGACTTGTCGTCGGTGGTAGGGGTTGCAGAGCGCTTGGGAATGCCCTTCGCTGCCGTCTCCTTAAGACGCGGCGTATGCGGACGGGAGGGTTGCTCGAGGTCCTTTTCGAGCTCGGCCAGGATGTCGTTATCGGCCATAGCCTTGGAAGCGGCGGTGGTAGGCTTGGGCTTCTTCTCGAGCGACTTCTTGGGGGGAGCGACATTGTCGCCAATTCCATCAAAGAGGTCGTCAATGTCGTCGCCAGCAGCGGCGGGCTTTGTCTTCTTGGAAGCCATGTTGGGCGATGGGAGGATTGTGGTGTTGGTGATGTTGCGGGGCAGGCGTCACTAGCTACAAGGTGCAGCACTTTGAGGGCGGTTAGGTAGCTCCAAAGGGGATGCTCGGCGAGCTTAGTCAGGCGACGCTAGGTATCAGGACACCGTGAAACAACAGCTCGAATGGAAGGAGCAATAATTATAGCGTGGGGTACGAAGTCCGACGGGCCAGGCCGAAGCGATCAAGGCAATAATATTGGTGGGTGTAACAGAGAGACACCAGCTCACTGCTCTACTGATGACGGGTGGTTATTGATGTTGACGAAGACGCAGTTGAACGTTCACCTCATGTTCTCCCTCCGACTGTGAACCAAACGGGGGACAGCTGATGCACCAGCGCAGGCACGCCGCACAGCACCACACACATTAGCGACAGCTGCTGGAGACATGCATCACATTCACCAGGGACGGGGACATGCATCAAGCGGAGAGAAGGGATGCGCTAGTCCATATCCGGAGTAGACGAGGAGCGTGTCATCTCATTGGCCCAGAGTGGACGCCCATCCCCAGTCGGAAATGAAAAAAGCGTGTCTTGTGGGTCCCCGTCTGAAGTCGCCATCTGGCCAGGCTGGGTTCCCATTCTTGGTCTGGCACGGCTTACAGCAGGCTTTTAGGGGTCATGATCAGTGCATTACAGAGGCTTCCCTGCTGAAGGTTTCTTATTAGTGGCAAGTTACAGGGGATAGAGCACTAAAGTGGCATCCCCCAGCTCCCATCAGAGGCCCTGGGAAGCTTGACGAGACGGGAACTTGGGGTGAGAGTCAGCCAGAGGTAGTAGGTACGTATCCCACTCTCGAGTCCCTTCCCCCTTCCCCCTTGGGCCCTTGTACCCACGTACCGTCTTTTCTTCCTTCCTTCCCATTGCCTGGTCCAGGCGTGGCTGGCTCGGAAGGACTAACAGCCAATGCCAGTGCAGGAGCGTTCCAAAGTGGCCCAGTCGTGCCTTCCCTTTCTCTCACCCGGCCCCTGCCAGCCAGTAACGGAACGGAAGGAAGTGGCAGCCAGCCTGAGCCAGGCCAGCAAGAGCAACAGGTGGACGCAGACGTGGACAGGGCCCCGGCTGGCAAGGCAAAATTGAGAAATGCAACTCAAAGTGAAGACGGGAAGGAGCCATCTCAGCAACAAGACAGGAAGGGGCCACCAACAGCACAAATCACGACCTTTTCCACCTCAGATATCTTACCCTCACGACTTCTTTGCCCTCTTGAAAATATCGTCGCTATTTTCTTTGGCTCTTTAGCTTTCTTCAGAGCGTATTTTTGTTTGCTCTGGCTATCGCGCAGACCCGTCCTGTCTGCTCTCAAATTTGACGTCTTATTTGGTATTGGCAACAGCAAGGCCCGTTTCTCTCAGCTCAGGTCTCTTTCGGTCTCGCTCACTCACACTCACCACTCACCACTCACACAACCTCTGGCTCTCACTCTCAGCTCTCAGTCGGGTGGTCCAAGTCAAGTCAAACCACCACATCACCACTTACTTGCATCAAACCCGGTTTTTTTGCCAGCACCTTCACATTCAACCTCCTTCCCCCTACCGACAGCCTCTTACTCCCATCCGTCAAATCTACGACGGGACAAGGGTTCGCTAGCTCTTCATTCACATCATATCAATATTCAGAGCAGTCGTCTCCCGTCTCATTGAATGACTTCTCGGCTTTCTCCGCCATCTTATTGCGGCTCCCCTTCTACCCCCGAATCATCTACACATCCGTCTCCGTAAGCCAGGTCACCTCTTCACCTGTTCTTACTTGGACTGCACCATCACATAACCGCTGCTCTTACAGATATGGACCAGCGCTCTCGCGGTGGCCGTCCGAATCGCCGGAAAACTCTTCCCACTTCCAGCATCCAGTCTGATACCAGCGCAGGCGGCGAGTCAAACTCGAGCATCATGACGCGCTCTCCTCCTGTTGCTGCCTCCCGCACTCCTCAGACGGCACCTCAAAATCGCCGCAACGCAAAGCCCATTCCTATGAATAACCCCTTCAGTGTTCGCTCATCTCCCAGCACGGGCGGATCCGGTCCTGGCCCTGGCAAGGCTCTTAGAAAGAGATCTCGCACCAGCGGCTTTGACGGGCCCGCCGATGAAGAAGACGAGACTTACCGCAAGGGCCCTCACACTTTGAGAAAGCGTGCGAAAATCGACTACTCCGCCGCAGACTTTGAGGATGAGCTGCCCGAGATCGCAATCCCGGCTCCTCGCACTGCTACCCGTAAGAAGCGGGCTGACAGTGAAGTCGTCGACGAGGAGTACTACACGCCCACGGCACAGAAGCGCCGCGCCAACTCGAGAGAATTTTCCGTCGCCAGCATTACCGCTGCTCGTCGTCGGACCCCGGCCCGGAAGAACGTCGTCGAACAGCAATCCTTCTACTCTCAGCAATCAGACGAGGATATTGTCAAGGACACTATTGAAGTGGTGGGCGATTCTTCTGACCTCATCAGCTCTGATGATGCATCTGACCATGATGACAATGACAAGGACATTTCCGGTCACGCCTCCCTTCCAGAAAACCATGACCAGCTCTCGTCACCCATCCAGCGCAAGACTCAGGTAATACTTCAATTGGCATCTCCCATCAGCCATCAGATCATCAAGCAGGATGAGAGTCAATCGAGCCAAGCACAAACCGTTCCCGGCGACATTGTTACCGCCGCGGATGAGGTATCAGGCCCTATCATCGCTCACCCTCAGCCCATCCGCGTCAATCAAGTCACCATTATCGGAAACACTGGCCCGCGCCCAGACACCGAGGCGACAACAGTTCATCATGGCCACTTCGTCGAGGATTATTCTATCCAGCCCAAGAGAGAGGCCAGTTCTCCCGTGCGGCCTACCGAAAGTGTACCGCAGAGAACGGCTCTACCGGAGATGGCTGAGCCGGCAGTCAACGCCGACTCTGCAGTTGTCTCCGGTACTCAGGAAAATTCCGCACCAGCCGTTGCTCAGATTTTCAACGCCACCAACAACATCGACCATGTCAACGTCGCACAGCCGATTGAAGAACCACGAGAGTCTATCGCCGAAGTGTCAACAGAGGACACAAAGGTAAATGGTCATATCGAAGCGACCGAAAATAAGCTTCCGCCTCAAGAGGAGCCATCAGATACACAGCCCACCGCCCCTTCACAAGATGTCGACGTCTCTGCATCATTCACAACTCAGTCCGAGGATTTATCCCGGCCCCAAGACGAGATGGACGTTGACGTTGTAGAGGAACCCGATGCAGAAATGCAGGACGATGTTGCTGCTCCTGAACCCGTTGCTGTTCCCGAACCCAAAGCAGCATCCCCGCAACCCCAACCCGCCGCTCCTGAGGCGAAAAAGAAGCGCTATCCGTGGTCCCACCTTACACCTTACATTGATGGCGAATATGTCACCCACTCCATCTACCCGGTCGCTGTCGAGGCATCTGCGCCCACCTCAAATGCCGACGCCGCTGAAACTTCCGGCGAGCGAGAGATTGCTGAAGAGACGCCCGAGAATGCCAATGCGAATGCCCATGGTCAGGGTGCTGAAGCAGACGCAGAAGACGGTGCCAATGCCGATGCAGACGGCGAAGTTGACGACACTGAGCGCGATGCCGATCACGACGAGGATCTCGCACCCGACAGCCAAGGCCAGCAACTTTCCCAAGGGTCCGCTTACAACTCGGCTGCCCCGACTCCCGCACTTACGCCCCGCCAAGGGTCGCCTGTTGTACCCTCAGCCGCAACTGGAACTAGCACGCCGGCCTTGATGCCGAAGCAACGCTTCAGAAAACAGTACAGGTTTAAAAAGGTCAGAGACCCTGCCGAATTCCTAGCCTTCTTAAAGGACTCTGAGGACCTCCCCCAGGAGGAGCTCTGGGACCTTCTGGCTCAGGCCAATGAGTGCCTCCTTGCCTATCAAGAGGAGTACAAAGAGTGCAGCAGGGTCGTAGATGATCAAGAGAATGCCCAGCGTCGCGCCATTCAGGATGCCGCCTACGAAAAGAAGACTGCCGACTTGAACGCCTTTGCCAAGGTAGACTCATACATCGAAAAGGAGTTTGAGGTGCAGGGCTCCCGAGCCACGATCAAGGAGAAAGACGCCGGAATTCTCGAGCAACGCTTGCAAGACAGGATCATGGCCGCCACGTATCACTTCGAGTACGATCCTCACCCCAACAAAGTCGGCAACCAAGATCCCGGCGCTCAGAAGGGTGGTGGAGGCGAAGGTGTTCGCCAACTTCGAAGCCAGCCGCAAGCAAGCGCCAAGGCTGCCGAGGGCGACGGAGTCATCGTCTCTGGCAAGAGAACTCGCAACCCCCCGAAGTTGTTTGACGGCGTGTTACAGGACGACCACCGTGCAGCAACTCCGGGAAGCATCAAGCCGGGCCCGAAGAAGCGCGGCAGGGCTGCTGCCGCAGAAAAAGCGGCTTCAGCTCAAGACCCCGAAGAGGAGCCCGAGCCTGAGCCACAAACAGTTTCACCTGCCAAGCCCGGCCCCAAGAAGAGAGGGCCGAGGGGTAGGAAGTCTGCCGTTGTGGTCTCGGAGCCGAATTCGCCTGCTCCCGAAGAAGAGGCCATCGCCCCGCCACCGGAGCCAGAGCAGGTACAGCCTCCCAAGCGCAAGCGTGGTAGACAACCAAAATCGGCTGCCATTGTCGAGGAAGAGCCAGAGGAGCCCGAGAAACCGACCCCCAAGAGAGGTCGCGCAGCGCAGCGAAAGAGCAACGGCCATGTTGCTGTTGTTGCACCCGAGACAACCGACGAATCCCGCCCTACCTCAGCATCATCTATGGCCACTATCTCGGATGCCGGGTCTACCTACGGACTGCGCCAGAAGAAGCGTCAGCGAAATTGGCAGGACGAGGAGGAAGTCGATGAGGAAGAAGTGGAGGCCGAACCCCAGCCTAAGAAGGCTCGCATCATCCGCATCAACAGAAAGCAAAGCGCACCGGAGCTCGCATCCAAAGAGACGCTGGGCGAACATATTCTCGCTGATATACACCGTTTCGCCGCGACTCTCGATGCAGCCGAGTCCCCTCAGTCCCGGATGATAGTGTCATTCAAGCTGATTAACAATGGCTCAAGATGGACCATCAAGCCCCCAGCCTCACCGCGCCAAACATCTACCGACGTCAGCGAGTACAACCTGTCGACCCCTCGACCAGCGCCAGTGTCTGCACCTACCTCGGCCAAGTCATCGGCCCCGCCTAGCCAGGCTGAAGGGGAGGAGAAGGATTACTCCACCATGACCAAGTCAGAGAAGATGTCGGCCTCGATGAAAAGTACGCTTCACTAAACCCCATCACTGATGTTACAGTTCACTAACAGTTTCTCTAGAACGATGGCTCAATGGCAGCATGCAAGGCGCTGTCAATAAAAGAAAGGCCACTCTCGCTGCGAAGAAGGCAGCAGCTGCCGCGGCCGAGGCTGATGCGGCCCGAATCGCTCAGCAAAAGGCGATGCAACTCCAGCAATCTGGACAACCGGCACCTTTCCCCATGGGACAGGGACAGTAACGAACCCAAACACAACTACACACGTCCGTCAGAAACGGCACGTTTGACTACCACGCAGAGCAGGATGATGACCTATACGGATCACATCGAAAAAAACACAACCGCAAAAGGTCACGAGACCCACGAATATCATTACCAGCATCATGTGCTTCTCAGAGCAACTATTTTCCAGTCTTCTACGATCAGCATTGTATACCCATTCGCATGACGAAAGTCGCATCCGGATGGCAGTGGACGTGTTCGGGCACACGAATACGCAAAAAGCCCGCACGCCGATACACACCTAATTCAGTTTTCTTGTTCGAGTACACATATCGGGAGAGGCACCTTGAGAGATGATCTCTCCTACATCAGCATCGGGAAGCGAGGGCATCCGACTTTTTCCCATTTTTCGATTCGAGTGTTGGAAACCAAAAAAGAGGAGAGAGCGTATGGATCTTTGCATTGATGGATTGACGGAACGGCACACCGACCTCGGCTCTCATAATCGACTGAGAAGTCTCACAGTGCCGCCGTCTCCGTCACTTTTTCTTTTTGTCGAATCTTTCTTCTTCGGCTTTTGTGTATTTGCGCGAAACTTTTCTTGATTTCAGACGACGAATACGAAATTTCGTCGATTTGGCACCAGCTCGCTGAGGTGAGTGGTCTTTCGGAGGTGGCGCGTCAACGGAAGTGGAGAGTCAAGTCGTGGACTGTCTGGTACTCAGCCTTGGGGAAGGAGAGGGAGCTTTCGCATGTCTGAGCGGCTCATGGATAAGGGATTTTGGCTCTGGTTTCCTATTCATAGGATTTCGTTGAGACGCCCTAGGATATGGGTTGGTGATGAATGGGTGGGGCTTGTCTTCTGGTACGAGGGCGGTGCAAGAATAGAGTCGATACTCTAATGAAATTGACGTTGATGCCATATATGTATGACATGGTCTTTCTGTGCTCATCTTGAAGTCTCTTGTCTACCTGGCGGTTATAACAGTGGCGGAGTAGCGTTTTGTGAGTCTTTGCTTGCTGAGGTTAAACTTTCCTCGATTCTTGAAAGACCAGCATGCCTCCGTCGTCGACTCTCCCTACGCTATCAAAACGAACCAAAGTAATCCCGCGTAAGTACCTGTCGCTGCAGTTACAGTTGGCGACCCAAAGTCGGCTACTGTGTTCCTCGCCTGTTATCTTTAGTACGCAAGCTGACTACCGCTTTTGTGGGTGGAAATAATTTCGCGTGCAATACCGGAATCTCCCCGCACCGCTCACGACCTTCATTCTGAGTTTTCAGCGGTATTCGGGACAGCCCAGCCGGTTCCACATTCTCATTATCCCAACTGCAAACGTACCGGACGATGCGGTAGAGAGGGCTAAGGTACAAGGCAGCGGGGCACACATTGCAGATGCTCCCGAAACAACGACCTCTTCCTCTGCCTGCCTCTCATGCATATTGAGAATAGGTAGTGTCCGCCTCAATCATCCCCCCCACAGTCAGGGCGAACTAGGCCGCGGACCACGCAAATTGACGAGGCAGCCACCAAGCACTGCAATTTTGACACGCCCCAAGGCCATATCATTACCATAGAAGACTCCTACCAGATGCAGCCTTGGCTATTTCCCTCTCCCTCTGAAACTCGGCCTCGCATTCGGGCTGCAGCCGTGCAGCTCCTACAATACTACAATGTGTCTGCGCCGGTGTTGCTCACCGAGACTTGGATTCTTCGAGAGTCCACCGTCGGGCATCATCATCCAACACAAGCAGGTGCCGAGAGAAAAGCTAACTCATCTCGGTGATCACTTTGATCATAACTAGATGCCTTCTATAACCACACCTGATGACTTTCAAGTAGTCACTCGCTGGGCATCGAGACGACAACCAGGCCACGCCTCGATGTCATCACTGATGCAATGAAACGCGTCGGCATACTACGATTCCCACTCTCTCCAAAGGATCGAATGTCTTCAAATCGTGTACAAGCTGCAACCTCTCTGTCCTCTTTCATACGCTCATTGGTGCCGGTTAGGAGTATGGTAAGCCGGACCTAATCTGGCATATTGCGATTATGGTCATGACCATGACCAACACCACTACGTCCTTCCTTGCTTCCTGGGCGCATGCGAGCATCCCTTTGTAATCGTACAGGTGGCTTCTTAAAGGTATCAACTTCTCACTTGATTTATCCTGCATCAGAACGAGGCGATGCTCAACTGGCACCCCATTCTGGTGGTTCAGAGAGGGGTTGAACACCAATCATGGCCCTTGTCAGCGAGTAGCCTCACAGCAAAAAGGGCCTTGTTGCACTGCAATTTTGGTCGCTCACCAGGCTTCAAGTTCGGCAATCCTTGGGCATAGTTTTACGTGGATCTACGGCGTGTGCGGAAGTGCGTTGGCCCCGTCATGCTGCCAGTCCCGCGATGCAAAAACGCCTCCTCAATAGGTCTTCTTCCCGATCCTTGATACCTCCATGTTTATATGAGATGACAGAATATACGTCCTAGTGCGTTTAACTACATTTCGAGCAATGACTTCCGCTTCTCCAACCAGCTATCAAATATCGCAATGCTGAACAGTGTCTAGCCTGGATCGACACCAAGATTGGTAGCAGGCACTGGGGTCGATTTGAAAGCATCTCTTTACAACGCGATCTTCGCTTGGGTTCATATCAATCAAATGCACCGAGTTGTCAGCACCGGCCATGCGGGGAAGACGAGTAGGTTCACGGCGCAGAGGCAGCATCACAACAACGCAAGTCAATACCCTACAGGTGGAGGACATGGACAACGGGTGAGTGGTGCTGGACTGTCCCAGGCTAATTGAGGGAAAAGTAGATGCATGGCCTGCGAGGGGTTTAAGATTGCTGTGCAGTCGAGCCTCATTCCTTTGTCTCCAACGTCGCTTTCCGTCGCCACCAATAAAAGCGGGAGGAGGTGAGATGACGGGGAGCAAACTACATGCAGATATCGCTGACACGGACACGACTTACTCTGATTTCCTGAGCATTTGCCTCGTTGGGGTTTGGCGACATCCGCCCACTTAATAGCATAACATAGACATAGTCAATTCACTCGCGGCAAGTGCGCCAACATGGGAGCACCAAGGAGAGCAGGAGGCAAATATGTGTAACGTGCGCAAAGAATCGGATTTTTGTATCTCTCCTGTATGCGAAATGCCTGGTATGAATTTCTTTCCCTTTACACGCCACAGCCGAAATGCAGAGCCTGCCAGTCCAGCGAGGAAACTAAAAAGAAAAAAACCAGGCCCACAACCCTCTTTCAGATGGTGTTTTGTGTGTGATGATGGAATCCATTCGACCTCGCTCTCTTTCACTTCATGACGACAGGGTGGGGGGAGAGAGGTGTCAAGGAGAAGAGAGGAGGAGGGGTGATGAAGTATGTCCCAATGGTTCGCACCGGTTGACCTAATCCGTAGCCATAACGTCGTCCTTTTCGCCCTTTTATTTCTTGACTTGTGTAAAAAAAAAACTCCTTTACATGACGACACCAGAGTTGCTGGCAATACGCTGGATTGGGTGTTAGTCTCGTATATCCAAAGACCGATTGTGTTTGGAAAGACTTACGGGCCAGAGCTCAGCAGCCTCCTTACCGACGGGGCCGGTAATGGCGGAGCCCTTCATCTCACCCTTGGGGTTGACGATCTGGAGTAATTGTGTTAGCGACAGTTCTTGATTGTCACCTCGAAACAGCAACGCCATCTTGAGAGCTTGACCATGCGAAAGCCGCACAGCCAAGTTCCGTCCGACGCGCCCCATCCCCCAGATATCGGATAGTACTTACGACACCGGCGTTGTCCTCGAAGTACAGGAAGACACCGTCGAAACGCTTCCAGGGCTTGGACTGGCGAACGATGACGGCGGGGTGGACCTTCTTGCGGAGTTCGGGCTTTCCCTTCTTGACGGTGGCCATGACCATGTCACCGACACCACCGGCGGGCAGTCTGTTGAGGCGGGCACCGATACCCTTGACGGAGATGATGTAAAGGTTACGGGCACCAGAGTTGTCGGCGCAGTTCATGACGGCACCACTGAAGCAACAGAGTCAGCAACGAGGTTCCCACCACAGAGAGAAGGGTTTCTCTCATTGGGGAGAGAGGAGAGTTCGTACACGGGAAGACCGAGGGTCATCTTGAGCTTGCCACCGGGGGCACCGCGACTGTAGGAATCTGGTCAGCACTTCCGCATCTTGATGATTGCCGGAATGTTTTCTGCTCATGTCTCCTCCATTGTCGGCGCAAAATTTCGTTTCTCGTGGTGGGCTAGCGGTGGGCGAAGTGTTGTCGTTTCGCGCAGTGTTTTTGTGTTCCATTCGTGCATGTCGTCAGTCGGTGTTTCTGTCGCAGTCGAAGCCCAATCCAACAATTCCGGCCGTTGCCTTGCTGTCTTCAAAATTTCCTCCTCTTTCCCTGCGTCGGTCGTGGTGTTGTCGTGTGTCGAAATTTCGAGCGCCCGCCCGCTTCCCGCCGCGTGCATCCCACCAAAACCTCCGTCGTCGCTGGAGGAGGGGTGAAAAGAAGCCGAAAATTTTGCGCCGTCCCTGGATTCGAAGAGTAGAATGACAATGACTTACGAGAGCTTGGCCATTGTGTCGGTTTGGGGGTGTCGGAATCAACTACGGGGCTGGCTGGAGGGTTAGATGGCGGACGTGGAATCGTGAACTAGGCTGGAAATTTCACGACTTCGAAAATGTTTTTGGTGAATCGCTGGTGTGGAGCACCGAACCCTACGCTCCTCCCTTACCCGAGCCAGATTTATCGGTCACGTGGAGATTAGATAAGCCACCCCGAAAACCTTTCCCTCTGGTTTTTGAATGCACAGAGACCCCGCTGTCAGTCTGGCCCCACTCCTTCTCATGGCCCGCCCCCCTCATCACCGCCTTGGGGGGAGATAAAATTGCAGTGCACTTTAAGGCATATTTAGGTAGGCTTATGAAGATAATTGGCTGAAGAAGAGACAGATGACAGCCTCACTTTCTATATCGAAGTCTCTGGAGATCCTGGATCGCTCCTTGGCGAAGAGCGCGTAGTAACTAAGCCTTGTCTCGTTTAGAGGGCGAAGTTTTTATTGTCTTCAACTTACACACTAAACGCGGACCCTCCAGCAACCTGTCAGAATATCACAGGCGGAATCCTCACCTTTGGTATCAGCGCCCATGAGTTCAGTATTCAATCTGTCGAGGACGACTCGTTGTGTTGATAGAGGGAACTCTGCCCTCCATCTTGCAAAGGGTCTGATCATCACTCCACGTCTGGTCGTCTACTGCTTCTGCTCATCGTTCAATATACCCGAGGCATAGCTTCTGAATGAGATAGAATTGCAGTACCCGATCCGTCAAAAACAAATGGTCGCGAAAGTAAGGGGAAGCCTTTCCATGAGACGACCTCATAGCTCCAGGAGCGCTTAGATTGCAGTGAATGTGTGGTACTTCTCTTATATACTTGGTCGCCCTCCATTGGGAGAGTCTGAAGTGAAGAAAGCAATGCACTTGAATAGGCTCATAGCCTATGGATATGTGAAGATTCTACTTGAGTGATCAATAGGATTAGGGATTATGGTATGCTCAATCACAGAGGGTCCTTAAAAAAGCCGCTCGAAATTCAACTGATACGAATGATGCAGTCTTCTCGATGCCTTCGAGTAATGAGCTTAAATATGCGTCGCCTTGCGTCACGCTCAAGAGATTGACCACTTCGCAAAGGCACCTCTATCTATCTCATGCTCTGACCGTGACTGTCATCGTCGCTGGACTACCCTTCTGAAAGCCCTTCTACATTTCGTTGTTATACTTGAGGCAAGGTCAATTTTGCATCTTTTCTCTCATCGGTTCGCTGGGACTTCATCATCGAGCATCTGCTGTAAGGTGCTCCGCGGTTAGATCCTCGCTCATCAAAAGTTCATAGACAATGATTCAAAGGTATAGTCAAGGCGTAGGCAACTCATTTTGAATCAGGCCGTCTCAGAACGATACGTAGTGTACTCCCATCACCAAACTACCCATCCGGGCATCCCCGGACCAAAGCCCATAAAGTCCGTCATTCCGGCATAGGACACCCCTGGCGCTTTTATAACCACGTTGGCGATCGTAGGCCCCGGCAATCTAGTGGATAAGAAATGTCTGGTGATGTAATTGAAGAAACAAATGATTCCGGTATCGGTCTATAGGATTCAGTGAGGATGATTCTGGGTGAGATGACCGGCCCGAGGTGTGAGAGGCTACGATGTGAGAGACAGAGCTATGTTCTTCATCTTGTTAAGATAATGGACGCGACTGTCGTTAAATAAGTCTCAATATGGTCCTGAAGTCATCATCTGAGACGCCATAGTCAAGCTGAACAAGAACACGTCTTGCGCTACGAAGTATTACTAATTTCAATTACTTGTTGAAATGAATTAGAAAAAACATCCAGTCGCTGAACAGAGTTGACCTTGATCAAATTGTATGCATAGCTACTTTATTCCTCATTATATCTTGTTTCCAAGTCTTGTGGCCATAATTTCCATTGTGGCCGGGGCTACTCAAGTCACCTTCGAAGCCTCTAAGCTTCAAATTCACACTTTGTCCATATCAACATCACGCCCAACACCCTCAACTCATTCCACACATCCAAACAGCCATCATCTCAGACTCGCCCTCTAACCCATCTAACCCCCTCCTCAACCAAAACCGCACCCATCACACCCATAACACCCCACGCAAAAACCTCATACCCCAAAGCCCAAAACCTCCTCAGCACCATCCACCTCAACATCCGGAAGCAGTCCCACCGACTCAGCTCCACCTTCCACCCGGGCGGATACCACTCCGGCACAGGCGGGTCCTCCGGGCACCACATCTCCCTCCCGCTGGCCTCGAAGACGAGGAACCCGATGCTGCGGAGCGTGAGGACGGTGCAGTAGGCTATGTAGGCGAGGTAGATCCCATACACGACCTCGCGCGGCGTGAGGAGGGAGGGGTGGTGAAGGATGTGGGATATTCGGGTTGCGGATTCGCGGACGGTGTAGGAGCGGCGGGAGAGGTTGCCGTTGATTACGGAGGGCATCTTCTGGATATGAGGTGGTTGGAAGTGAAGATAGGTGTACTGATTGACAGAGAAACTGTCGATGCGAATCCGATTTCATATCAATTGCTTCGAATAATTCGATCAGATTAAAGGCTTGATGAGGCACAAGCTCCCGCCAGGTAAGATGAAGGATTGCCGAATCTAAATGATGCTGGCGTTGGTGTTGCTTGATGATGAGTGTTGGCCGGTGAGAAGGCGAAATTACGGCCCCCACAAAGACCGGACCAGGATCGCGTGGCGGGTGCCTGGGTATGTGTCCTGCCGTGGCCCAGGTCGGTCATCTTCGAAGCGTACGACTCTAAAGGTGTGCATATCGTTACTCGAATGCCTAGCAGGCTTCCTCGAGTATTCGCAGCACTTGCGTAACCATCAACGCGGCCAAATAATGAATCAAATAAAATATGCTTGAATTGATACTGGGTATCTTTGAAGAAAACAGCCCACTGCCTCATGTTCTACCGAGCCAGTGCCTCATGCCATCAGTACAGAGAATGCCAAAACCATAACCGTCGTGAATGCAAGTCCCGTAAGACCAGGTAGATGCCGGGTGCTCCCGGCCCCTTCCTAGCTGCCACCACCTGTCGAATCGCTGTTATTGGAGCCATTCGAACCACCACTAGTCGTAGGCGCGACAATCTGAGCGCTCGCGTTGGGTCGCACGCTCTGGGGATTCGAGAACAGATCCTTGGGATCCCACGTCGCTTTAATGCGCTCCAGCGTTGGGAGATTGGTTCCCCAGTACCTCTCTTGCGCGTTGTCGAGCGTCGGGTCGACATACCCAGCATACGTACTCAACTCGTTCGGACTCGCTTTCCGGATCTTGTCGGCGACCCCAGCCATGAAGTCTTTGGTCTTGCTGCTCAAAGTCGGGATGCCGACACCGTAGCCCTGGAAGAACATGACCTTGTCGCGATGACGGTAGGCGGTAGCGTTCATGGGCACATCGTTGATTGCGCCGCCGGTGACGTCAAAGATGAGGAACCAAATCAAGGTACCGCGGTCGGCACCATCCACATAGTCCATCATTCCTTGAATGCCATCTTCGCTGAGGAGGTCGTTGCGTGTAAAGGCGAGACTTTTGGAGGTGAAGGGTGACTGGATGTCACTCAGCCAGAGCGCCGCGTCTTGTGCCTTTTGAGCAACGTCGCCGAGCCAGTCATTTACTACCACGGACACCTTGCCCTCGGGGATGCGATCTGGGATGCCCGTCTTCTTGAACTCATCTTCTGTACCGTAGAATGTAGCCGTGATGGCGACGCCGAGCTCCTGCATCACAAACTCGCTGCTGAACCGACGGTCCAGCTCCGGGTCAGAGATGAGGTCTTGCCATTGCTTGAAGACAGGTGCGAGATCGCGGTGCTTGGCGAACGTGATGGCGTACGAGTATTGTACCACATCGCCGGGCTCCGGGTGGGTCCGCATAACGAATTCGGTGATGACGCCGAAGCCGGCGCCGGCGCCCTTGAGGGCAAAGAAGAGGTCCGAGTTCTGGCTCTCGCTTGCTCGCTGGATCTTGCCGTCTGCGGTGACCACCTCGACTTCGACGACGTGATCTAGACAGCTTCCCCACATTCGTGAGCTGGGGCCGAGACCGCCCTAAATGTGACTTGCATTAGTAGGGCGCACGAAGCCTTGATAGATCGCCAACTGCGGGGGACTAACAATTGTGGCATGGCCTCCGATGCCTACACCGGGACACGTGCCGTGAGCCATGGCTCTCTTCCCGTTGTCGTGCAATTTTTCCGTCACGTCGTGCAGCTTGTGACCTCCGCCGATAGTTGCCTGCCAAGTGTTCGTGTCCATGGAGAAGTTTTGAAAGTTTGCCAAGTCAATGACGAGAGCGCCGTCGGTGCCACCAACGCCAAAGTTGCTGAGGAGAGATGAGCATGTTAGCAGTGGACTAGATAACGATGACATGTCGAGCAACCTACGCATACGAGTGGCCTCCCGACTTGGCTTGCACCTTGACATTGTTATCTGCAGCGCATTTGACGAAGCCGGCGACATCTTCCGTTGTTGACGGTTTTGTGACAGCGATGGGCTCCACTGGGATATCGAGATTGTACGGCTTCACCCAGTTGAGCTGGAAGAGAGGGTCGTTTGGATATCCAACGCAAGAGGAGCGACCATTGCAGACGTTGTCGAGACAAGTCGCCAACGGGCTGCTAGGCTTCTGTCCCATGATTATTGCCACGAAGGGGTTTATCGAGAGCAATGGAGCATAACACGAAATGCGCAGAACGGAAGGGCGGACGGTAGTGGGTTGTTAAAGGTCGCGGGTATGCTCAGTTTATACATGCCAGGGGACCCCCTCTGGCATCGCAATCCTTCCCGGTACTCTGGAGGCCCCAACATCGAATTATGGGCGAGAGAAGCAGGTGATGTTCAGCTTCTTGCGGTGGGATAGGCCGAGCCATAACCAAGATCCTTGATGTTTGGCGTGCTTAGGTAGCAGCGACGGGCCACGGATAGCGTTCCTGGCTGATCATCCCATTACAAGGTAAGGGAAGTTAACGCCTGCCATTTTTCGCCTGCTGCCGCCGTCATCCCCTCCTCTTGGAAACCCAGGCGTGCCAGGCTTGCCAGGCTTGCCAGGTCTGTCCTACATACAAGCCAGACGCAACACCGGCGTACTGTAGGCATGGCTGAGGTGTGGCTGGCAGCGGAGCACAGAAATGATGGCCAATGGTGGGTTGCCAGCGGCGCGGAAGATCGCCACCAGTATCCTACTTTGTTGCCATGAATGCCATATGGTGCGGTGCGAGAAGTTGATGAAGGCTCCCCTCACTTGGGGACGTCATCCGCCATGTCCCTGTCCCTGCTTTTCGTGCCTGGCAAGCATGGCACTGGTGATGTGCCCTTGACGGGCCAGTCAGCGCCTGGCGAAATGCTCGCAGGAATCGTGAATCAAGCTTGTTCAGCGGGGGTGGCGTAGCACCGAAAGAAGTCAAACCAAGTTAACAGGCTCGCATGGGATCTTGGCGATAGACGGGGGGTTTCTCATGCAATGATGCTGGAGCGTGGATGTTGGTGGACTGGAGGAAAAACGAGTGGCGTATTCGGCGCCACGCGAGGTGGGAAATATGGGGGCGCTATGGCGGTGCACAGCTGCGCCAATGAAAGACTTTGGATGATGATGAGTGACGGCTTTCTCTGGTCTTTTTCAGGGAGTCTGGAGCGGCCCAGCTCCGCGTTGACGGTAGCATTACAACGGTCTGTCTCACTTTTCCACGCTGCTTGTTGATCTGGAAGCGGTCAGTGGCTGGCGGTTGTCTGATACAAATTGGAGTTCTGGACTCTTGATGTTGCAAAGGCGCTTGACGTGAATTCATTGAAGGGACCTACTTAAGGTAAGTATAAACAAGAGATAAACGTAGAGAACCTAAGACTGGCACACTGAGAAACGTTCAAAATGCCCGACCACAGATCCAAGGTAGATTGGGTACGTACCTGAAGTTCATCTTGATGACTTACATAAGGTTCGATGCACGTGCCCTCATGAATCTGATTGAGCTGAGTAAGGAATTGATTGAACTTTGAAGACAATGGATGAGATGAGTAAGAGAATTGAGATAGCTGTCGGAAAAGCGTATGACTGGAAAAGAGTACACGTCGTACCGAATCTGACTGAGATATTCCTAGATATGCCATTCTTGACGTGAACTTACAGTGGTATGGTACCGCCATTGTCAGGATGCCCCTGCTGGAAGTTCGTCCAAACCTTATCCTACTTCAGCCTCAAGTCTCCCAGCTCTCAGTCATCCCGAGTTGGACCAACGTTGCTTCTGAGACACGTTAAATACAGTCGGTTGCAGCCTGTTCACTCCAACATGGAGTGAGCGAAGAGATTCAAATGAGATGTAACGATTGATCATCTACGGTCCCATGGTAAGTAAGATACGTTCACATCCCCATTCGACTTACATTCATGGACAAGTATTTGGACAAGTACTCAAGACTTTGTCTGTCAATGTGGTGGCACCCACCCAATGTTGTGGTACACTATCCTCGACAGCCTCACTTGGCCTAAGTAGATGAGACGTATGAATGCTGGCACCCGTTTCTTCATGCTGTCTTCATGCTCATTCTCACGCACGTTCTCATCGTGACACTGTGAACTGGGCGACCCTTTCACCCTGTGTTTCCATGCACAGTGCAGAGAGTGCGCGAGATGCCCCCACATTTCTGACCCCTCCCTCTTCCACAGTGGCTTGACAATCGAAAGCCACAGTTTCCAACCTTTGCCTCTCACTGTACGTGGCTGCCTGATTGATGCACCGCAGCGCGCCAAGTCTTTGGTGATACCTTCCACCTCCACGTCTTGCTCTCCAGACCTACTCCCTCCAACCCGACGTATTCCATCATCCTCAGCATTCCCGCCATCCTTTCCGTTTCGCAGGGCTAATGCTTCTTGTCATACGTGTCACTGCAAAATCACCACATTCTTTCTGCATCAGACGCCCCCAAAATTGACCGGCCACTATCCTTCCACGCCCATCTGAAAGCAACTCATAGATGCCGCGACTAGCACAACCGCCGTGTTCTTAGCCCACTTCATTCCGACTCTTTCATTGAGAGCTGCATCAAAACGTTCCGTCAAAACTCTGTCGAAAGAATAGGGCCGACGTATTCTCTCCAGTAACGTCGCACCGGAAGTCGTTCTGCTCGAACCCCAATTACCTGCTGCAAGGCTTCGTCTGAATCGGTCCTTGACGTGCCGTCTATGCAACGGCCCTCCAGCTGCGAGATAACGCCGCTTCGAGTTCTCACGCGGCTAGCTGCGTATTCTCCCATCTGATAAACCGCGGAAATTTGGTCTTGGTTGTCGAGTATACGGGACTTGCGCAGCCATGACAACACCGCCCGTCTGGCGACGGCTGCCTGTGCCCACTTCAGCCGATCTGCCCAAACTATTGGTATCGACAACGTTCACGGCTACATCATACACACTCTTCGTTACAGACCTGGCCAACATATGGTCTGAATCGTTGGATCGGCGTGCAATCTACAAGCGCAGCCTCAATGAGTCTACCAGTATCGACCCGACGGACAGCGACAGCAACATGCGAGCTTTCCTGTCCAAGATTCAATCTGTCTTTGATCCAAGCCACCGAGACCATGACAAAGCATCCATGTCGATATCAACACGCTCTAACAAGGAAGCTGGGGAGCAGGGTCTGACATTGAGTATTACGTGCGAGCTGGACAACATGCAACCTCTAGAATGGCCGGTGTATCTGCAAAAGTGTCCCCAGTCAGAGCTCACGACAGAACTTGTCGTACCCCTCGCACAAGCAAACTCTGTGAGCCGCCGGCGAGTGGAGTCCCTTACAGAAACCATCAAGCAGAAGGATGCCGTTATCATGAAGCTTCTGGACAAATTGGAGGCTACCGGGACTCGTCTTGAGAACGTTTTCGCCGTCTTGTCAGCAAAACAGAAGCCCACGAGAAAGATGGCAGAGGAAAAGGTCAAGGGTTTGGCTCCCTTTTCTCTCGAGGATTGGAAGGCGCAGTCAGACCACGGCCCGGAGGACGTTCTCGGTGCTATTGAGAGTGTCTTTGGCGGCGATGGACTCGAGTATAGTCGCAAGGCTGACGTGGACACCGCAACACCTCTTGACGACTGGTGGGCCAAGCCAGAAGCGTTATGTATTCCGATTGTGGGACCAAAGTCGAGGTCCCGTTCAAGCCAGCCGGCAATGCCGCCTCCCGAATCCGAGCGAGAGGGGTATGGTCACAGCGAGCCGGCAAACAAAGGGATTGCGGGAGAGGATCAGGACGATGATTTCCAAGTGCAGTCGACGCCTCCCCATCTTATGCCCACCCGGAAACGTTCCGTCCCGCCGCTCTCCGCACGCGACGACGATAGCACTGAAGACGAAGACGAATCTCACATTCCAGACAGCGTACCTGTACCTCTTGATGAACCCATCATTCAATCTAACCGTCTGGGTACGATAGGAAAGAAAGGCCAGCCTTCGACAGCAACGAGATCTTCAGGCTTGAAGGCTCCTGTGCCAGCTGCTCCAGGCTCGGATACTGAAACGGCATCTGAAGACGAAAGTGCAGTATCGGTAGTTGAGGTCTCGCCACCACCAAAGCCTGCCGCGAGTAAAATCAAAGGGGGCTTAGGTCGTATCGGCGGTGGTCGTGCCAGTCGCTCAAAGACTCCAGAATCTCCGAAGAAAGGGGCTTTAGGCCGCATTGGTGGCGACCGTCAACCTACTAAATCACCAGAGCCATCTAAGAAGACTGGTTTGGGCAGGATAGGCAGAGGCACGCGCCCATCGAAGACTCCAGAGCCGAAGACCGAAGATGCGGAAACCAGGGGAAGACCTACAGCGGACGAGGAGCCTTCGGCGAAGCCCAGGGAGACGTCACAGGAACGGGCAGATCGGAAACGAGATGAACTACAGCAAGAGATACAGAAAAAGGCCACGTCGGGACCAGCACGGAAGAAGCGGAAGTTCTAGATCGACCCTAGTCTCAAATCTTACATCTCCATGTCACTCGAAGCTACCTCATCACTGAACATCTTTTCGGCCCTTTGGCAAGACTGTAATTAGGTGATATCGAAAGCGATGGCGGCTGCTACCTTTAGACGGACAACACCCGACTGGTAGCCTATTTGGGAGAAGAAGACATCAGCGTGACAAGGCTATTCTCGAAATAGATATAGACATGCCGTCGGATGCGGGTGTTCAGGTGGACGAAGTGTCCCGGAATCTATCCGATGCGGATTGCCTTACACATGAGACACCCTCTGGCTCGGATTCTGGTTGAGAACTACTTCTTCTCTCAAATCTGTCAGCCTTCAGGACGTGGCGCAAATCACTCCACACGAGCCATGCAAGGACGCTTGATAACGGGCCGAAAAGATCTACACGTCGTTAGCTCGTTTGTCCGACATAGGATGTTCGTTTCCGGAGCCCCGATGTCGAGCAGCAGAATCTTGCATACCTCCGTGTGGTTTCCTTGAGAAGTTCACAACTGTGTCTTCCTCCGAGGTTATACCTGGAGCTGAAGCGAGACAGGCCGAGCTTGTACAACAGCAGAAACGCGTCTGGCCGTGCCGCGGATCCCGTACGTTGTTTCTAGAAGCCTGGTGACAGATGAGTATCAACTGTCATTTCTCAATGTCGAGACGTCATGTCCCATTGCGATACCAAGGTAACGGCACGCAACGTATTTCAACAACAAATGCCATGGGAGGATGAAACGTTGCAGCCCTTTCGACGCAAGACCGTCTTGAAGATGGATGTTGCTCGTGGACTTCGTTCCACTCCAGCATGGACATGCCGTTCTATTTATGACATCTCCCGATGGCAAGGTGGCACCGAGTCACATATCGGCAGTCGATCCAGAAGGCTCGTCTTGTGCTTGAGAAGCGCATAGTAATACCGAGAAACATCTCAAGATATCTTCCCCCCACGTGGCACTTATAAACATCTTGAACCCCCGTACCGTCCTTCAAGTTCGATACAACTCAAGGGAAGGTCTCCGCCTTGTTAAACGTGGGACTGTGCAACGCTGTTTCCTCAATTTGACAAACCGCGCTCATTCTCGGGAAATCTCTCGCGCATCTTGACGGCGCGGCCCATCAGCGGGAACTAGTATTCGTCGTAAGACGAAGTACACAGAAGCGCTCGTCTATCCCGCCTGTCGGCTACAGTGACAAGCCCGCGGCTATGGAGCATTGTATTCAACGAGACGTAAAACCTTGTATACGATATCACTCACAAAGAAAGCCATTCGCTTTGATGCATTGCTCAGAGACGACACCGGTCGAGGGACGGTGCACGATCTGTGTTCCGACCAGCTGCCCGAGGCCGCGGCCCGTGATGCGACCTTGCAGCACTGCGGGACAGATTTCTTTTTCATACGTTTGGCGATGTAACATGTAGCGATAAGGCTTCGAGATTTCTGCAATGAAGCTTGGCAGTTTACGTCCGCATTTCTGCAGAAGCAGCTGTCCTTGGACGCCTCAAGTTTCAACGGGGCAGATGCATCACCACCTCCCGATGCTGCATCGGAATGATGCCCCGGTGGCTCGTCCCGTCGACCGGGCAGGGCTTCTCAGGGCACAACATTGTGGCCTTTCGCCCGTAAGATCGCACGTAAGAAGACGGGACACCTGCCGTCGTGGGTGGGTGACTGCTTTAGCGAGCCCACACGTCAGCTTCTGCTACAACCCAAGGACTCATCGGGGCTTTCTTTACGGACGTTATAATTCAACGACTTGTCTTCGACCTGCGTGCCATTCTTTCTGTCCTAGCACTTGAGCTTAACGGCCGAAGGCAAAACCATCGGTTAAGGAACATTGCCGTTGCAAGCCAGAATCAAGCTCAAACGGCCATTTTCAACCGGCCAGCGCTGGTCTGCAGCTTCGCGATGGCGGAAATTCAACGCGAATCAGTGAATGATTGGTGCAGATCTATACACGGGCATCATTCCTGTCGCAGGATATTTGCTCGAGAAAAGAAAGCGCCTCGGTGGCATCAATGACCGAAGTGCCATCGGAATGACGAACTCAGGTTACGACGGAATGCCATCGAAAGGTCAAATGAAGTGTCCCCGAATCGACTTGAGAGGTGAAATGTCGTTCAAAAGGCTTTGGAGATGAAATTGACAGGAGAAACTCGGTGCAGTCATTCATCACCACCAGCGTCCCCATGCCGTGAGTGCGCTCGACAATTGTGAGGGATTGAAGATTGATTGAGAGGATGCTTCTTTCTCGGCGACAATCGGTTCTCAGATTGACGGACTGCTACTTTACTATATCAACTACTCGCGGTCCGGGCGGACATCAAAGGACTTCTGCAGACTGTTGAAGCATACCTGACAACGCAAGCCGATGGCGCCGGGTATTCGAGTAGTTGTCGCTCTGCATGCTGTCGTTTGACGATCCTCGCCAGCGCGGCCTGCGCATCAGACGGGAAGATGAAGCATTCAAACACATATCCCAGAAAAGGGCCGCACGCGGCACAGAAACTCGACCGGAGCCATAAACATGGGCCGATGGGACTGCGGCTTTCCTTCGAGGATGTCGATCCCGCGCCGCTGTGCGACGCAATGAAGCATAAGATGCGCTGTATACATGTTCCTTTGAGGTTGCACTCAAGCCTGTCAACCGGGAAGCAGCATATAGGCTACTCCTGTGCGAGTTTCTCGAGGCGAAAGCCATGGATTTGCCAACTTCATCTGCCTGACCCAGGAGCCAGTGATCTCAACTTTTCTAGGATGAATCGAGTTTCAAGTAACAAGGACTTAACTTAACGTCAAGCTCGGCCCACACAGCATGAATCCTTTGGTCATATGTGGGAGGGCCGAATGGCGGTGGACGACACTGCAGACACGGTTTCTGGGCGCTGGCTTACCCCCAAAGTTCATCATCACCGATCATTGCCGTGCGCTGTGTGACAGACCATTCACGGACTTACGTCCGTACTTGGCAAGGAGAGCGAAAAAAACGGCCGGGAACTCGTCAGAACTGCCATCTCGATAATCAGAGATCCAGGATCTATCACAAAATTCGGCCATCGAACTCTCAAATTTGTGACGAGCGGCTCTTGGTAGAATGAGTCCTCGGCAAGCCACGGTGGTGTGCGATAATCAAGCTGGAGGCCAGAACTTGTGGAAGCACCCCCCTCATGTTTGAACGCAAATAGGTCTGGCGAGTTGGGTATCTGTGCCGCCGTATCTGTACCGCGAGGTCCATCTGGATTGTTGGACCAACGAACACAACTGGCGTCCTGAACAGGCACGCGTGGCTCATCCGGCGGGATCTGCCCCCACCGAACCCGAGAGCCAGGGTATAGTTGCCTGTCTCGCAATCGTCTTTGCAATGACAGTGGGTAAACCGTTGGATGTGCTCAACTGTCGACGAGGAAGGACTAGCGAGAAAGAAAACGGCGGGCTAGCTCGCCCGGCAGGACGGCTGTCAAATCTGTCAACCGCGCAGCCAGTCGACACCACCTTTTGCTCGACTGTATTGGCACATGTGGGGGATGGGCGACTATGAGCGAATCATATCGGCACCCGCGAGCCCCCGGCCTAGGATGGGATCTCGTCGTAATTGTGCTCTTCTGGCGTTTTCCGATCACCCAACGAGTGCCGTTTGGGATCTTTTGTTCTCCCCCGATCATTTATCCGAAGATTCGAAGTCGTTGGCGCGGGGATCTCGCACCTATGAACATACCAGGGTAGGGTTGGTTGTTGGAACCAACCCCCCAGGAGCCAACCTTGCAAGCGTGATCTGTCCACCGCTGGCCCTGGACTAGACTAGTTGTCTCTTCAGCCTTTTTGAAGAGATGTCAACACGAGCTTCAAGGACGGGAGGTTTAGCGACATAGCACGGATATCTGTACCAAGATCTCGTCTCTGGGACTCGACCTATGGGAAGCTTAAGAAAGGGCAAAGGTTGCGAGTTGTCGTTGGTTCTTGGCCGTCACCACTTGGGTGCTTCTAGTGACAGTCTTCGCCCTGGTGACTCCAGACCCAAGTCTTAACAGACCAGGGGGGTTCATTCGAGGGGACGGCGGTCGCGTTGAGCGGACCTCTTGGATGGAGCGGAGGAGGTGTCCGAGGCGGCGAGGTGTTTCCGCAAAGAGGAATGCAAGGGGTCGGAGAGGGGATAAGAAGGATTTCCACTTGTACCTGGCACTTCCAGGTTAAAAAGTGGATGATTTGTGGACCATGTCCATCGGACGTTTGCCCGTCCCCCCGCCGCAAAGAATGGGAAAAGAGGAACGCCCAAGAGAGAAAAGGCAAGTCTGTTTCAACGACGTGCGTCTTCTTGGTGAGCCAGACCTGCCAGACATAGCAGACAAGCCATCATTTGGCGTTGGCGGGCTCTCATCAACCCCGACTTGGGGGGCGGTGACAATCTCTTCAATACCTCAGACGCTTATTTTACACTTAGGGTTTGTTGCATGCCGCCGCAAACAATTACCGGCGGTCAGTCAAGGCTTTATCGGTCTATCGATCCTTTTGCCTGCATCTCATGTGGCACAAGATGTGCCCCAGACATTGGACCTACATCAAAGCAGCTGGATCGCTCAGCGGCATCTAATTTGAGCGTGGCTTTTGCTTGGGAACCTTGGACGACTGGACTGGCCCCCTCCCCTTACTCACAGTCTCACAGAGCTCACATCAGTGTCAGTCCTGCGCCTCAGCTGTTATGCCGACCTTGAACAACGGCACATCGTATTACTGTGTAAGGTATCTCGTCCCAGTATCAGTGCGGGACAAGTACCCATGACACCCTCAACCGTTGGCCATATGACCGTGCGACTGCGGGTTTTCTTTGTCAAACCAGCCACTCGAGGGGTCGACAGTCCTGCAAAGACAAATCCGGCCTGCCGTGCGGCTTCCGGGGAACCAGTCAGCAGCTCGCGCCCAGCTTCGTGGCTTGCCGGTTCTCTTGGCTCAATGCCTCGAGTAGAAGAAAGATGGGGGCCATCTGGCCACAGTCAGGGACAGGGATGCCTTCGCGACATAACTTGACGCTGCGACGGGCCTACCCTACTAACGATGCCGTATTGTGCGCTGCGCCGCTGGCTTCGGGTTCTGTCAGTCGACGTTGCCAGTGTTCAGAAGATTGATAAGTTTTTTGGCGCAAACCCGGCTTAAAGCCATCCAAGTTATACAGACTCCCGAC